TTGTTGTGGTGGGGGCCGGCAGCAGCCGCACGGCACTGCGGCGGCGGCGGCAGCTGCGGCTGCGGCACTCTGCCGCAGTCCATCAGATAAGAACGCCGACCTTCAGGTTCTCCATTCCAGGTGTACGGCACAAACCAAAAGAAAGGAGACGGTCCTCGGGAACAGTGGAACAGGATCCACACGCTCCCAAACTCGGAGACCCGGTGGCCACGGCGTGGCTGACGAATGTCACAGAGCCCGGCGGCGTCCGTCACGCTCCGACGCTGGCTCCGCTCCTCCTTCCTGCTGCGGTCGTGGTTGGCTGGAGCCGCAGCTGAGCCATGCCGCCCGCAGCCATCCAGATCCTGGCCTTCGCACTGGCTCTGCTCGGAGTCCTGGGCACCGGCGTGGCCACCCTGTTGCCTAACTGGACGGTGAGTATGGGCTCCTGGTCCAGCGCGGTGGCGCCGGTGTGGCAGGCGCGCGGCCTGTGGATGGACTGCGTCTGGTACGGCCCCGGGATCTTCAGCTGCACCATGAAGAACTCGGTCCTGCTGCTGCCGCCGTACCTTCAGGCCACGCGCGCGGCCATGGTGCTGTCCTGTCTGGTGGGAGTGTTCGGACTCTGTCTCGCTGCTCTCGGACTCAAGTGCACACACTGGGGTGGGAGCCGCAGGGCCAAAGGTCACACGGCCGTGGCTGCCGGAGGCTGCTTCGTCCTGGCCAGTGTCCTGGGTCTGGTCCCGGCGTCCTGGTTCACCAACGAGGTCATCGCCGCCTTCCTGGCTTCGAATTCGCCTGACAATAGCAAATTCCATCCAGGGGGCGCTCTCTGCATCACCTTCATCTCAGCGGGGTTCCTCCTGGCCGGGGGGGTCATCTTCTGTCTGTCATGTCCCGGGGAGAGATCCAGGAGACCAGACTTCAAGTCCGAGGACAACGGACTGGAGCGGCGACGATGGAAGTGGGAACAGACGGAGAACAAGAACCCAGAACGTCCAAGAGTGAGAGAGAAGAAAAGTGTCCAACTGCAGACGGAAGAACCAGAACCAGAACCAGAGCTCAGGCACACCAAGACCCTCCAAAAGGACGTCAGGGACAGCTACAGCCTCCAGGAGTACGTCTGAGGAGGGGGAGTCGGAGGAGCAGAAGGAGAAGGAGAGAACCTCCCCCAGGATCTGACACCAGTGGGCGCCGTGATGATCTACTGACAAAGTGACAGTGTTATGAACA